CACAGTGCAGTAGGGCTTCAGATACTGTATTGTGTCATATTTTATCAAAATGGTGAATAGCATTTTAACATTTCCATGTTTGTCAGCTACTACTAAATCTATTTACATTGTATTTAAAATCATTCTATGTATTGCTTTTATTCAAAATAACTGTTGTGCTACCTTTCTGGTGCCAGCTCTTTGCTAATACTTGGCCTTTTTACTAGTTCTTTGTACCTTTGAAATTCTCGTAAAAGCTGAAAATATCAATAACATATTAATCAATACTTTTGTCACAGACATTGTAAGCTATATAAAAACATCTCAACATTTCCATGGTCACCATCATCATCTTTATGCCTACCTGATGAGACTGGGCTGATAAATCTCTAAATTGTTGCCGTAGTTTCCCAGCAATTTTCTGCTCTGCTGGAGCCATTCCCCTTTCATACTGRCCTACAGCTGCCCTCCATAGTGGTTCAGTGTAGGGGTTTTGATGTAATGGGTTCAGACCAGCAAATGGTACAAAGGCATCAGACGTCCTGAGTTGCTGTCTCTCTTGTTGTGATAGCAAGCGAACTAACTGCTCATGGACGGTTCTTAGTGTTAAAACCTGCAATGATTGAATGTTGAAGAGAGAAAAAATTAAAATTGTCAGACTAATGTCTCATCAAGACAAGTTTCGTTTAGACATTTCAAATGGTGTCCAGACATCTGCTTATCTGTTTTTGTTGCTATAGTTGTTCTTGTAGTTGTCATATTGTTGTTGTTGTTGTTAATAATTCTGTTAATGTTGTTGTTACTACTGCAGTTGTTGTTGTTGTTGTTGTTGTTATTTGCTTGTTTCTTTACCTCTTCAAGTCTTGTAGCAAGCAAAGACAATCTCTCTGGAACAAATTTGTCATCTTTCCAAGGATGGGAAGGGAAGCGCTTCCAGTACTGAGAGGTTAGTGTTTCACATGTTGAAACCCATCTTTCACACACCAACACTGCTTTCTTCATAGCTTCCTTGACATGTTGAAAAGGACCTTGCCA